ATTTTGTTCAGGTATCCTCTAAATAGATACTATCAAATGATTAACCATGTATTCTGAACGGTTGAATCAGTTCTCTAATACTTTCCTCATTCTGATCCATGACAAATTTCTTCGAGGGTTTCCAAGTAAATTGTCACACAGTTCCTTCTTTTTTATTGGCCTTTTATCTAACTAGATCCCGTACAAGTAATTATGGTATAATTTATTCTAATAACCAGTGCAGAATAAGCCCTTTTGGTTCACCACTTTCTCACATTTGTAGACTAGTCTTGATGTTATTCTTGTGTTGATGAATACAGCGTGGATGTGTCCAATCCAATCAAATCAGCCAATTGGAGAACATGGTTGCGTATTGACCAAGCACAGTATAATCCAGCTCTCGTTCTATATTTAGTTCTCGACCCGTTTGTTTACTTAGTGTTCCTCTTAATATTTCGTGATTTCTATTTTGCTCGAACTTTTGTAGCTAGAAAATTTATCTAATCTGAACTGGCTCACTTCTTGATTCCCTGCTATTACAAAGGAATATATGATGTAGTATGTATGATGTAGTAATGTAGTTCTTATTGCTTCTGTTATACCCAAACAAGCAAATCTCTATATAGTTTGTTGAAAGTGGTCGCTTGTGTCAACTTTGAGCCCTGAATCAAAAATGAATATATTATAATAGTTCCGACCACAATGGTGCACTATATGACGTATTGGTATGGTTTGAGGCTTCAAATCTTTCGATTGATCAGTTTCACTGCTACATCCCCCTTCCACTTTATACTTTCTGAACGTTAATTACTGGTCAGTCTAGATCTGGTATCTGGTATCTGGTATAGATACCACATAAGGGTAACCTGTCTCTCCAATTATAACTCTTCACCGCCTTGGTGGTAGCAGATTGCTTTAACATTGATATATTCGACCGGAACCAGAAAGACTAGTCGTTTATGTAGCCCAGTATTGCATGTGATCCAGAAGAGAACATTGGGGTCAAACTGCCTTCCGGAAATAGCTGTGTGACAATCGTGACACTAGTGTTTCATCCCATTGTATTGCAAAGGAATGTCTCCACAAAAGATAATTGTAATGCACCCATTGGTGCAATCAATACATATCTCCATAGTTTTCTAACAGAAAGACACTTTTGAGAATAATAACAATCAACACGTTATCTTTACTTTGAAGGTATACTTCATAATGAGTTCGAAGAGAAAATTATACAACGATAGAAGGTCATATATGGACTGTAATACATGGACCTCGAGTTCAAACTGGTTGATGCCGTGTGATTTTAACACACTTAGAAAAAAATGGGAACTCAAACTACAGATAAGATGGCTTCTACTTACTACCGATGTAGTTGTTTCGGATAGACTTTTTCGGTTCTTATCTGAAAAAAACATCTTCGTGAATATAGTTCCAACTAAACTCTGAGGAGCAAACCATTGATCAGCTCAGAAATATATACTTCTTGAAATAGTAATAATTATATCAATTAGTTACATCAATAATAAAGTCAACGTGAACGAAATGGCATGTATTGGAAACAATACTGAATCATTTCGAAAAAAAAAATTATAGAGAACTGAATAAGGCAGGCCATTCCGTGAAACAGATATATTCTTCTTAGAGTCAGAATAATCACACAAATTGTAGATTATTTGTACCGACCGATAGGACAGTCAGCGGATCTTGGATACCTTCATACTTGATATACTCCGAAATGGTTGGCTTCGCGACGTTAGTGGTAATATTGAGCACCTTGGACTCAGGTATGACCTCCACGATGTGAGTTGCCATGACAATGGTGAACAAAGACGTACTGAGTGCAGGAGAGGTATCTCAAATAGCCGATTTTTCAACAATAGCGGTTGTGGTTGTTGCCTTGCCAGAGGCAGTCATCTGCAGCGTCATCGCTGTTACACTGTTAGAATAATCTACCATGGAGGTTACGCAGTGTCGACTGCTCCTTCTTGAGTTACTTCGCAGAACCCTATACACGAGCTCTGTACTTATTCTTTTTGGCAGGCTTCGGGATGATGGGCATCAGAGTTGCTGGTAGATATAAATCTCTAACCATCCATAGCGCTTCCTTGGCAAAGAGAGTCCACCAAGATTGTATCATCCCACTCCCTTTACTGATTTACATTTAGATTTTGTAAATCAAAAATTTTATGAAAATCATTATTGTTCCATACTGTACTTGAATTAACTCTACGAAACAGCAAAATTTTATGGATCAATTGATCAATTCACAACCCTTTCTCTTTCTGATTGTCTTATCAAAATTCAAAATAATCATCAGTTCCTCCTTCTCAATGCCGATTTGAAGTGCTATTTCTCCGCACTTTCTTTCTTTCTATTAGATTCTTCAATATGCATGTGTGCTCAAAATGGCTCCCGAGAGGTATCTGCCTATGTAAATCTTCATGTTTGTGAGCAGCAATTAAAGGAACTGTATATCCATCACTACACAGCATCACCATCAGAAAGACGATAAAGAAAAAAATATATAGGCAATAAACGGACTCGACCGTACATTCAACGCCCAACATTCGGTATTCCGCATAATGGTATTCACAAGTTACCCAGAATTTTGATATATTTATTATGGACATTTCGTATGGCGTAGGCCGTGAACAGTTATGCAAGTAATCGCTTGTTGAATTGTTATCCGTTTCTACGCGAAACACTTGCAAAGAATAACAATATGAGACTGGTTCGATGCTATTTGGATGAAACATGCTGAACGATAGTCAGAATATCACTGACGACAACAACAAAGAGCATTTGGGATATTAGTCTAGTTCATAAGAGCTACTTCACATAACTTCAGTTCGTTTTAATCTAAAAGTATGATTGGGATGTCATTCGATTCGTAATTTTACACGGAGTAATTTACTATTCAAATTGAGTTGCACAAACAAATGGTTTGAGACTTATGAACAATGAACCTGAAAATGCTTGACAATGTTTTCTGGTGAATATTGAATGATGTTGATGAATTCGGAATCCATGAAGAAACAAATAAAATAAAAGATGATCTGAACCAAACTTGGACACCTTCACTCATATTGCAGCATCTCAACCTTCCATTATTCATAATGGATAAGGAAGTTCACAATGAACTGCCATTTTTGGACATAACAGTGAAAAGAACCAACAAGGGGAAACACCAGTATACCAACATTTCACTTATTCGGGACAGTATTTAAATCACGAAACCAATCACCACCAATTTAGCGAGAGTGGAATCGTCAAGACTCATTGATCATGCATTCAGGCTCTGTAACACAAAGAAAAGTCTCAACGACTCAACAAGTATCTGGGCTACACCAGGAAAGATCTTTGGTAAAATGGTTACTCCAAAAAGCTGATGTAACAGACGTTGACTAGAAGACAACAAGAGCCCCGAAAGGAAAACAGGCCATCACAATAAGTACTTCCCTTTCTTTACATCAGTGGACTGTAGGAAAGATAAGAAGAATTGGTCCAAGTACAGTATCAGATCTGAGTACACCGTCCGGAGCAACCTCATGAACAACAGACCATCAAACGCGTGCTGCGATTCTAAGAATTGCATCCACCAGATACGACGTGAATTTGGCAAATTCTATATTGTTGAAACCAAGAGGTCATTGATATGAGTGAGCATATAAGAAACGTGAAAAGTTCGGCAAATCGAGAAAAGCATATTTGGACGAATCAAGTGGTTCGAAGCTGTGACATTCACAGAAAGGAACGCTGGGTTGAGAGGAAGTTCAAAGAAGCCCCAAAATGTTGACCAACGATGCATTCAGCTAGATTAGTGTGGGGATAAATAACATATGGAAACTTCTAAGCAAGCGGGAAAACGGTAACCGTTACACTAAACTGGAGAAAGAAGGGAGAGAGTAGAGAGAGATAAAGGCGCCTAAGTGTATTGATATAGTCGCAAATATCAAGAATGGGTTAGTTATCATCCGAAAAAGACCGTGAATATTAACATTGGAAACATCGTGAAATGACTTGGAATGACAACTTTCTCTAATTTTCCATTTTTTTGGATTTATATTGTCATACATTATTTATCTTGATTTTATTTTATTGAACTTCCATCTCACTTTCTAATTATTTGTATATAATTGACATTTCACTTGTTGTTCAACCCATTACGAATTAAAATCTATACTTTTTATTTTTTTCTCATTTTTTTTAACTCAACCTGATATTTCAGTTCGGTTACTTTCAGTACTTTTGATTATTTCAACATTCATTTCAAATATTTCATTTTACTTTTCTTCCAATCTATTAACACCATTTTAGACAAAGAAAGTCCGAATCTGTAGTAGGAATAATTTAGAAAACCGAAAGATAGGGGTTGGTTTAAACATTTGCTATACATTTTTGACGCGCGTCGAGAATAGTATTGCAGTTTTGCTTTGGAGATTCATACTAAGTCAAAGACTCCATTTTGTCATTTTATCAGTCAGGAGAATGTTTATGACAAATTGTTCAACGAATAATGAATAACGAATGAAAAACAAATACTTTTTTTTCAGAATATGAAATACAAGTGATAATATTAAAAAAAATGTTTTTCTCATATTTCTCTGACGCGTTACTTGATGAAAATCAAAAACACTGCCCATGATAATAATCGAACAATTTTCCTCAACAGCTACCGATGAAACGTCTAGTAATAAAAATGTTTGTACAAATTGGTCAATTATTATTATTGATAATCAAGATGAATGAAAAAAATAACTCAAAAATAAATAAGAAGATTCTAAAACAATTCACTTCAGGACGTTTTGATTTCGTTATCTATTTTTATTTTGTGGCATTTCGAATTTTTCAAGCATACAAGAAAATTAAATTAAATTCTGATCTGATACTCCAGCTGTTAATTACCTGCAGGTGTCAAAACAAATATTCCATTTGGATGTTAACCATTTCTTTCGAATGCATTTTTCTCATCTAAAAATCTCAAAGATGTTGTCACTGAATTCATAATTTTTTATTTTCAGGAATTTGGAGAACGTTTACGGATGAACTTATTGATTGCAATCCTCAAAATTGTAAGTTATAATGAAATGAAAATGGTAATGTCTCCTGAAATTATTCAGCTGTGTTATAATTTGCAACTGCTCCTTTGGATTGTAGTACCGTATTCAAATTATATCCTGAAATTAACACCTTTCTATAGCAGTATAATAATTTAATCCGTCATTCAATTATAATAATTATTTGTTGTAATTTCCTTTCGAGAAAGATAATTTACAAAATTATTGGTTGAATTGAGAATTAGCTACATTAAAACATTTACCTGTCGTGCTGATTTGTTTCATGTTTGTGTAATTTAGCAATAAATTACAATTTGAATTGTTCACTAAATGCTTCGAAAAAATAAAAATATAATAGATCATATGCGTGGAGATAAGAGCAGTTGACATTTAGTGAAATATACAGGGTATAAGTCCGAATATAGAGGAACATTTTTCTGATGATGAATATAAACCTGTATATATCCTAGTCAGTTTTTGGAAAAGTAATATTGTCATTGAATTTGGAAATGTCTCACTATTATCATTTGATCTCCAAGTTTTACAATAGTAGAAAGGAAGTTATTGGAAAAACTATTTTATTGCTTTTCGAAATATTTGCTTTCAAAATTTATGCCATTTTACATGCGTTTACAAGAATTTTTGAACAATCTTTCCATAAAGAAAACACGGTCTTGGGAGACTCCAACTGTTTCTTGGGGAGAGGAAAATTGTTTTTTTTTTGTTTGACACGGGAAGTAGAAAAAAGTCGCTAGATGATAAATCAGGAGAATACATCATTTCATGATCAATCGATGTTTTTTCCTACTTCAAATGATTACTTGTTCTGCAGAGTGGGAAGTGGTAGTTGGTGTAATCATTATAGAACATAGAACATTTTTGCGAAACAAGTTAATATTCAGCGTTAACAGTTCAACGACCCTCTGAAGGAAATGTGGTGATATGTCCAGTGAAGCTTCACTTTGTTAAAATATGATTTACACATGTTAAGCGACATAGTCATTCAAACATATCAAAATTGAGAAAAGAAAAATTTGGGTCAGTAGTCAAAATCTACTATGAATTTTAACAATTCCAATAGTTTGATAGCGTCGATCAATACAAGTACAAGTACAAATTATATATTCAGACAGGTCATTCCACAATATTGCTCAGAATATGTTGTCAACTCAGTTAGAGACATTTCTCATGTATACCCATTTTGAATTGGCGTTCTCTCATCCTCTCATTATCAATTCGCACAAAGAAATTCAAACTCACTGCCTAGTGCCCTTGGAGGATTTTGTTTGTTTCAGTAGCATTACTTCGTGAGTGAAGATCCAACAGCGCTGAATTGGTTATTTCAGAAGTTGTGTCCATTTAAATGTCATGTGTTTTTGTGGCTCCATTTCTCGATGAATATATATTCTACTGTGTTGTGGTATATACTCATCGATAGAGGATTTTGTATTCTATGCATTGATGCTTTTCATTTTACCCCGAATTTTGATTTTTTCCCTCTTCTCAGCTTATTACTATAAAATGTCGTTGAGCGATTTTCGTCCAGTTTTTCCCTACGAATTCAAAGCGCAGTAGAAACAGCCCAAAAAATTAACGAGGCACTTGGCAATAATATTGTTAATGAACGCGCTGCTCGACCATGATTTGCAAAATTTCGTTCAGGAGATTCCAGCCTCGAAGATGAGCCAAAAAATAGTCGACCTACAGTAACCAAGGACGAGGATTTGAGAACCCTGGTGGATACAGACCACTAGAAAATAATGCATGGGATGACTGAAGAATTGAGCGTCAGCTCCCATGCGGTTTTTGATTCATTGAACGATCGGCAAAAGTTGTCACTTTCGAGTTATGTTTTTTAGCTTTGGCGCAACCAAAACGATCCTTTTGTTGGTTCGGATCCTCACGTGTGATGAAAAGTGTGAATCGTCTACGACAACAGTAGACGTTCGAAACAGTGGATAGACACCGATGAGTCACCCAGGCACTGCCCAAAAGCGAGAACCCAAGAAAAAAACCATGATTACTGTATTGTGGTCAGCTGCTGGTGTGATTCACTGTAACTTTCTACAACCGTGCCAAACCATCACAGCACAGTGAGGAAATGGAAGAAATGTACCGAAGAGGTCCGATCCTGCTACACGACAATGCACATCAGCATATTTTACAAATCAACGCCCGAAAATTAAACGAATTGAGTGTCGGAGTTCTGCCTCACCCACCATACTCTCCAGACCTCTCGCCAACCGACTACTAATCTTTTTTCGAACACTTCGATAGCTTCCACAACGGTAGAACCTTAGCCAATCAGGACCAGGCAAAAACGGCCTTCGTCGACTTCATCGAATCGCGAGCACATAATTTTTATGTTAACGAAATCATTCGACTTGTTTTACGTCAGCAAAAGTGTACTGATTCAAATGACGCTTACTTCGATTGAATAAAATATTCATCGAACGAACAAAATATTTGAAATGAGCTAAACAATCTAAATCCAAGTGATTCAAGGCGACGATAATGTTATGATCCCGGATTTGTGCAGGTAACGTGGTGATATGCCTCAGTGTTGCGGCGTATAGAGAATTGGTCTGATAAACATTTTGAATTTTGAATTTTTATAGTCAGGTTAGGGTCAGATTTTGTTCATAGATTTTGAAAATGAAATTCATAAATGGAACGAGAACAGCGTAACAATAGAAATAATCATTATTTACGTCAACTTTGAGTTTGTCTCATTCACAGTCTCACTGCAATTTGATTGATGACATTAATGATCATCACCCATCTACTTTTAACAGGTTTACGTCAGTTTCGTTAGCGTTTTATTCGGAAGGCGCGGCTTAATGCGTACTTTGATTTATGTGGTAAATCGATTTCGTCATGAACTGCCTCAACATTTCACAAATTTATCGTAAAATAGTAGATACAAAATTGGTCTAAAGACGTCGTAGTGTGCTCACCGCAAAAAACATTTTCGAGAGATTGATACTATATAGTCATATTTATTTTCGAATGGAGTTACTTTCAGTCAGAAATGACTAGGTATGAATATGGAAATTGAAAGAATCAGTGTAACTAGATGATTTTTTGTAGCATATATTAAGGTAGATTCATGCACCAGTCTGAAATTTTAAATCATTTATCTGTCATAAATTTCACTAGCAAGAAACATTGGCTAATATGAAACATTCAGACTTCAAATTTGGATGAACTTGAAATTGGTATATAATGAGTAGTTTTTCTTGGTTCTTCAAGTGTTTTCATCATTCACGATTTGGAAAATTGTAATCAAGAATTTATTCCGCTTTGAGCTTTGAAAAAAAAATCAATCAGTTGGTATTCCAATTTCGTGTTCAGTTTCTCAATTCATCTCAGACATGCCTCACTAGGTATGCGACGATAGATAATGCCAGAATGAAGTAAACTGAATGCTCAAATTAAAAAAAGGTTATTCTGTTGTGGGAAAGTACATTGGACTAACATTTTACATTTCCATTTTCCTTCCGATCAGAATAAATTTTGAGAGTCAAGTATAGTCAGGCACTCAAGAAGCATTTTGATAGGGATGGTGGGTGATCAGAAAATTAGGTCAAAATGAAGTGGTGTATTCGAACTTACACTTCAATCACACTCAACTAAATGAATTCAGTTCCTCAACAAAGCCGATAACTTCATCTGATGAGTGATATTTCAGGCCATATCAGCCCCAGCTTAGGACTCTGCTAAATGCTGGTATATTTTTCTCCATCCAGTGGGGTCCTGGTCGGTGGTCAAACAGCGTCTACCTTCTTCGAGTAGGTGAATAACATAAATTTGTCATTTGGATAGTAGGTGACGTAGTTCATGGAAATGCCCTCTTATGACTAAGGGGTGCTAACTGCTTCCACCAGCCAGTTAATGTTCTCAGGATCCTCTCAGGTGACCTGTAACCATTCAGGACGGAATGTGCAGCTCCAGAATCGTACCTATGGGATATTGCGGAGATTCTATGGTTGGTCGATATTGAGGTTGACTAACGTTCAAAGCGCAATATTCCCACCTGGCTGATTGTAGCAACCTTTCCATATGAAGCCATTTGTGAGCCACCTATACCTGTCGATTCATTGGACGGTTTTGTCTTTGGTTTGGGTGGATCATGGTTGATCATAAGCGTTTGTTAACCTGCTCCGGGGGAGTTTATTTGAACTCTCTTATTTGAACTCTCAGATTTTGCTCTTGCGGCTCACGAATTTGGTACAAAGCAAATTCATATTATATCGTACTCTTGAAGGGGCGAAAACCCGCTTCCTGGCTGCCTCACCTAGCCTCCTAGATTTATTAACTGGACCAAGAGTGTTTCCTTCATGGGTGGCACCTCTGATCCGGCAGTGTTATCCTAGAGGGTGGTTACAAATGAAATACAGCTTTACAACAAGAAAAGAAAAGCAAGTAGTATTATTATATTTCATTGAGGATATTATATGTTGACCTAGAGTAATACATTTTCATATTATGACATCATAGCGCTCACTCGTTTATACAAAATCTTATAAGGAACTTGAACTTTATTAATTCAATATGTTACAAAATGAATATGATTTTTTCATTGAGTTAGATGCATCTAAGAGAAAACCAGAAGTATTTGTTATAGAAATTACTATTAAACGAATAAATTCTATTGTATTCTATCGAGAGTGCAACTCAGGAACTTAAACAAGATTAATTAGATATAGAATTATAGCTCAATAGCTTTGCTGGCACTGACCTGAAAAAAATGTAGGCCCATGATTTGTTCAGTACCTACTTTTGATTTAGCTTTGTTGGTTAATTGAATGTATTTGTGAAAATGTTTTTGCAAAATTTTGAGTTGATTTCTTTTCAAGAACGAGTCTTTGAAAATTACTCTCCTTTGTTACATTATGTCATACCACATGCCAGATTTCAAGTTTTGTGTAGATGACTGATTTTGGTTTCGGTACAGTAGAAATTATAATAGCGTTGTTCCTAATTTATTCTATTGTATTCGAAATCTCACTGGT